TAGGACTGCCAACAACCTGAGGAGGTTCGAGCCAACTCCCGCTAGACTTATGTCGGTGAAGGATACCATATCCTATTGTTCATCAAATGCCTGGATCTTGATGTTATAGGATATGACATCTTTCTGCTCTATCTTCGGTGTGCCTTTATCATCAACATCGTATGCCCCAAGACGACTACTTGCGACCTTGCTTGATGGTTTCACGTATAGCAAAAGGCCATACGTGGACACTTATGCATCAGGCATAAGCATCGAAAACCGAACCAAGAAGTAAGGAAAGAAAAGAACAAAAATGGGGTGAGAGAGAGGAGACACTGATCCATCTAAAACACCGAAAAGGAGATTGAACCAGTTCTCAAAATTCACATAGAAAAGACCAGGAAAAGTAGGGCCCAAGGTCTTTCCCAACAAACATAAAGGGCAGGCTCGCGCTAATTTTCCCAAACCCCAAAGACAGGATTAATCAAGTCCACCACATGCTTTTCCAAAATGAGGTTTAACATCTCCCAAACTTCAAAAGAAAGTGACCTCGAGGAAACCACCACTGATATTTCCAAACTCATACCAAAATCAAAATTCCCCCAACCTTCAAATTAATAAATAGCCTCATACATTAAATAAGCACGAAACCTTCCCACAGAATCGAATAACTGCTCACGGCTGGGGTCAATAGAATAGAGGAAACAGCATTTAGGGCTCTCGGGCAAAGCAACCCACAAGGGAGGTAATCACTAAGGCTCATGACCCAAGGTGACCAAAAGAACTACCAATGACTACTGTGCTTCCCGGACAAACACGAAAGGATAACTAAGGTAATTATAATTTTTGGGATGGCAAACTTGATCCACCAATAACATAAAGGGCCGGCTCGCGCTAATTTTCCCAAACCCCAAAGACAGGATTAATCAAGTCCACCACATGCTTTTCCAAAATGAGGTTTAACATCTCCCAAACTTCAAAAGAAAGTGACCTCGAGGAAACCACCACTGATATTTCCAAACTCATACCAAAATCAAAATTCCCCCAACCTTCAAATTAATAAATAGCCTCATACATTAAATAAGCACGAAACCTTCCCACAGAATCGAATAACTGCTCACGGCTGGGGTCAATAGAATATAGGAAACAGCATTTAGGGCTCTCGGCCAAAGCAACCCACAAGGGAGGTAATCACTAAGGCTCATGGCCCAAGGTGACCAATGACTACTGTGGTCAATAATCGAATAACAACCCACAAGGTGATCAATAATCACGGCTGGGGTCAATAGAATAGAGGAACCGAGACCAACAAGAATCAAAAAGAACCAAGCCATCTCTCGGGTAGGGATTAAAATCAGCAAAGCCATCTCTCGGGTAGGGACCAAAGACAAGCAAAGCAAGCCATCAAAACTCTCGAGCAAAGACAAGTTTTAAGGACTCAATCATGGGCTCTGGAGTAGGAGCTAAAACAAGCAAACCAAGCTCCCAAGTCAAGCCAAAATCGAGGTTCGAATTCGGGTTACAACAAAAGGATCGAAAACTTCTCCACACCCCCAAGACATCAAAATATAGAATTAACGCATGTTTTAAGCAAGAACAACCATGGAATTCTCCCAAATTAACATAAGTCC